ATCAATCCGCAACAGTCACTTTTCTTGTAATTATTTTTAACTTTTTTAGCGTAAATTTATTTCAAGGTTGATCATTCTTGTTGCAGTGTGCAGTGTGGCCAACGAACCAGGAATACCGGAAAATAACCGGGAACTTGAAATGTAACCGGGAAAAACCCGGAATGTGATATTAGAACCGGGAATAATCAGTAAACCTAACATATGGTCAGGTTAATTATTGGTTGTGTTTTTGTTTGTAACGGTAATTTTTGTCTGCTTGATTAAGCCAACGGGTTAAGCGTCACCTTCCCGAAGGAAGGATAGTTAACTCTGCTGAAATATTCCGGTATGAGACTGCCGCCTCATGGCAGGTTTTCTACTTTTTTGACGTAGGACTACGTCTTTGATTTCTATATGGGGGTACACAATGTGAAAACCGAAAATGGAACATGTAACAAATTAAGAAAGATTTTGAACGTTAATAACTCAGCTGCCCCTAGTCCAATTTTAATAATTTTATCACGAATCGATCAGAAATATGGCTACGCATCGAAAACAATGCCGAATGTTGATTTTCAACAAGAAACTATTGAAAAACTGGTAAATGTCCAGCATTGTCCAAAAGCGTCGAATTAACTAACAAATCCACCAATTACCTACATGCATATGCTGCTTCCCCAGCACAGTCGTCAGAGAGTAGTAAGTAGACAAAACAAGTCGAAGTGGCATTCGCCTCCGATCCTCGGGCGCGTGCGAATAGGGAGGATGGAATTGCGTAATATTTTGCACACTCATCGCCATATTCAGAACCTAACGCAAATTCTTCGACATAACTACCATCCGTCATCTAACGCGCCGTGGCGGTGTCTGACGTATCTCCAGTCTGATTTACGAGGTGTGCTGAAGGTGTTCCTGAAAAATGAGATCCGTGATGCTGTCACGTACACTAAACACGCCAAGCGTAAGCGGCCATGGATGTCATCTACATTTTGAAGTGACCGAGACGCACTCTGTTTAGTTTCGGAGGTTAAATCATCACCAACTTTGGCAACAAAACGGCTCTTTTCAGAGCCACCAAGCTTATTACAGTAAAGAGTAGGAATAGAATTCATCTGCCTGTTTGTCCATATTCAGAACCAACGACCACACAAAATGCTCATGTAATCAAACTGGGTACTGGGTACACATTATTTTGATCAACCTTGATCAACTTTGAATCGCCACGGCCGGATATTTTCGATGGAAGAAGCAACAATCTAGCATCTCATTCGACGAAGACGGCAGGAAACATTTGTGAAACCGAGTTATTTACGAAAGAGAGTGTCGATGAAGAGAATCGATCAATGTAGATAGGACCTATTGAAAAGTGACGCGAGATTTATTTTCCGTACTGAGCTCCACTGCTATAGACCTGGACCCTACCAATCGACCCATCAACTCAACCGGGGACCAACGGCTTTACTTCCCGAAGGAAGGCGTGATCAGAGATGTTATGCCTTAGAACATGCCGGTGGCGCCGACTGAGATTGGACCCAGGCCTGCTGGGGTGAGAGGTAATCACGCTAACCACCGACGCCGATATCTTTCAAGGCGATATCACGGCGAATGAGATCGACCCAAATTTGAGTTTAGTTATCTCTAAGATAAGAAATAAAGTGCAGGAACTCAGCGATGAGTAAATTTGCCTCATGTTTTCCCAGGATTTTCCAGGGAAAAATTCCCGAATTTGAGAAAAATAAAGATTGTGTTCACTCAGTCTATTGGTACTACTCCGAGACTGAATAAAATTTTCGTCAATTCCCTAATTTTCTCACAGATTTTTTAGGTTTTCCACAGGAAACCATGAGAAAAATTTACTCGTCGCTGAGTTCCTGCACTTTTGGCGATTATGAGTGAACTAAACTCAAATTTGGGTCGTTCTCATTCGCCGTGTACGCAAAAAGAAAAGAGCCAGTGTCACTACTTGATAGCAAACTACTCATAATGGGAGGAGTCTTTGTAGCTTTTATACCACTTGGTTGCACATCATTCTGCTTTAACCTGAAAAAATAAAAGAGCGCTGCTGTATGGCATTAGCTCATTTTCGCTTCGGACGGCGTGGTGAACAGCAATAGCAGCAGTAGGAAGATGGTGGCTAGTCCACTCCTTCACACCTAACAAGCAACAATTGACTGGTCGTGGAAAAGGAGGAAAAGGTCTGGTAAAGGAGGCGCCAAGCGTCATCGCAAAGTTCTTCGAGATAACCGCCATCGGTCGTCTGGCTCGCCGTGGTGGTGTCAAACGTATCTCCGGTCTAATTTACGAGGTGTGCTGAAGGTGTTCCTGGAAAATGAGGTCCGTGATGCTGTCACCTAAACTAAACACGCCGCCTAGTGTAAATGGCCATGGATGTCCTCTTCATTAAAACGGCTCTTTTCAGGGCCATCAAGCTTACATCAGTAAAGAGTTGGAATAGAATTTATCTGTGCTTGTTTGTCCATATTCAGAACCACAAGCACCCAACGACCACACAAAATGTTCTCCAGAGTTGTAATCTTATAACCAAACTTGGAAGCAGGGGTGCAAGTGATTTTGATTGATTCTCTTAATCAACTTTCTCTTTGAAAAAGATTACTATAAATTTGGTACGCCTACAATTCAAAAACGGAAAGAGTTGAAATAATAGATAATTGATCAATTAAAAGAACTAAATGCTCTTCACATTTATTTCGCCCACTACGGTCCTACGTCAAGCTTCCATTCGCGCCCCTAGGGACAGACCCTTCTACATTTATTTTACGTAGGACTACGTCGTTATTTACTATACTGTGGGTCATATTAACAAATCGAAAATGAGGCATGTAACGAAAAAGAGGGAGTATTTTCAAATGCATATTTCTCCAAAGCTTGAATGTGAAATATGTCATGCAATATTCCATTGGACGGGGACTTGATCCAGCCATCTTCACCAAGCTCGTCATCATCAACAATCAATACGAAACTAACGATTTTAAATTGGCTCACCACTTTAGTAGCCTATTGGTCCCAAGCAAACGATTAACGTACCCTATTCTAGTCGAAATTCTAGTACTACGCAATGTTTGTTTTGATTCGCTATGTAAGTTTGACAGATGAAATGAGGGGTTATTGGTTTTTCCTATGTTTCGAGGGGTGATTCGACAAGCTTGGGACCGAAGATAGTACCAGAGGTGAGCCAAAAAGTTGAGCACGTTTCTTTGGGACCTACTTGTCTTAGAGTTACCTCTATGTCATCATCATGCCGAAGAACATCAAACTCGCTCACCGTATCCGTGGAGAAAGCGCCTATAGATCTCAGAATTCCCCAATCACGACAAAAAACGAACAACCCGGTACCAGAAGAATACGTGTGTCCACGCTAATTGTGCCATCATCATCCCAAAAGACCTCTAGTTCGTTCCTCGTATTATCAACCATCTACACTTAAGGCCTGTATAGAGATCGAAGCGAAGGGAAAATCTCATATCAATACTCGATTTTTCATCAGCGTGAACAATGTAATTGACAAAAATTTCACTTCGCTTGGAACTGTAAACAGGATCCAGTGAAATCGAATTTTGTGGATTCACGCATGCAGCCAACCGGTGGAAACTAACGATTTTAAATTGGCTGACTACTTGACTAGCCTATTGGTCCCAAGAAAATCGATTAACGTATCCCATTCTAGTCGAAATTCTAGTACTACACTATGTTTGTTTTGATTCGCTATGAAAGATTGACAGATAAAATGAGGATTTTCCTATGTTTCGAGGGGTGAATCGATTAGCTTGGGACCGAAGAGAGTACCAGCGCTGAGTCAAAAAAGTTGAGCACGTTTCTTCGGGACCTTCTAGTCTTAGAGTTATGATGCAGGTGCTCGTGGAAAGAACGTCAGTTAAGCGAATAGTTAACGTTTAGAGAGTGATATCATTATCACTTCGAATCTCCCCGAGATATGAATTACGCCAAAGGTCCATTGGTCATAGTGTAGTAGACACAATGATTCATTATAGATACTTAAGAAAGCAGTCGAACAACTTTACAACCCAACATGTTTCTCAACCGGATCGTAAATCGCAACCACCGGTGGGCTTCAATCCGTCTCTTTACACTTACGGCTATGGGGAGCTCTAGATATATCCACTCAACGTCCCATGTTCAACCTCCAAGTACCACCAGCTGATAATAACATACACCAAACGTCACCTCCTCTAAGCCAGCTAAAAAAACAAAGAACACAAACACAAATTCCCATCAACAGGTTGAAGATTCACCCCAGGAAAATCAACGACCCGCATTTCACAAGCGAGGAGCTTCACTCACGACTCCACCACTCGCAACGGCTCGCTACCACCTCTCTATAGAAAGAAGCGAGGACCGGCACCGGATGGCCCTTTTCGTCACACTCCCCCCATCATCCTCCGACCTCGCTCTCTAATCGCATTTCATTCAACAGCCTCGGGTTGGGCTTTGCTGAGGAGAGGCTGGCAGCAGGCTTAAATGTGGGTGGCCCTCTCATTTCCACTCAGCCCAGCTCATTGAAGGGACCCGGTCGGGAAAAGTTAGTCGGCGCTTCCTGCCTGCTTGCCTGCCTGCCCCATGATGATGCTCCTCATGTTTCACTTACCGAGGGGTGGGTGGCAAAGGATAATATTTTTACGTCACCAACCTCCGGCTGTGTGGTTTGGTGCTAGTGGTGGTTTGCAAGCCTCAGTGGGTGGCCTTCAACAAGTTTCAACAATTTTTGTGTTGGCTCATGATGATGATGATGATGATGATAATGATGGGTTACGGTCGGTGGTGTGATGTTTTCTGATTCACTGGAATACCACGTGGATTCTGTGTGTTGGCATGAGTCTCGGTTCCGAGAAGGTAAGGAAGCACCTGAAGGGCGGTATTATCAAAAGTTATGGATGGAACCAGCACGTCAGGCTTCCGAGAACGAAGCCTCTTGTTACGCCTGCATACCAATTTAGCTTGGATAATACTTTACTAATTATCCGTCTCTCGCTTTGTCTTTCCAGATAATCACCACAACAGCTAGTGGCAACGAAAGCTACTACAACTACCCTTAGGGTGGTCCACGATGACCGCGCTAATCCCAACGTCTCAGCCCACCGGGGTTGAGGCGTACGAGGACATGTTCAAGGAAATCACCCGTAAGCTGTACGGAGACGAATCCGCCCATGGCCTCTACCCGCACAATACCCAGGTAGCCCAGGTGGCCCAACTGGCATCAGGTGCCCCCGCGGCACCCGAAGGCGGCGAACGGTCCTTCACCACACTGGTGTCGGATCGTAGCATTACCCAAATCGATTACGAAACCACCACAGTCAATGTTCAACAACAGCAGCAAGGTGGTGGGAATCAACAACAGCAGCAACAATCGGCTGGAAATTTCAAATCGGAAGAACATCTCACGACGGCCTTCGGGCTTGCGGCACTTATGCAGAACGGATTTCCTCCACCGGGTGCCATACTGAACCCGGTCAACTTTCCCGTCGGCACGACGCTGAAACCAAGCACAAGTGAGTTTGAAATAGGTAACCAATACGCGCATTGACGTATCGGCCATAACTTGACACTTCTGATTAGTCAACCGAAACACAATCTAACCCCTCCCATCCGTCTCTCTATTCTCAACAGACATCTCCATTGCCACCGCCGACGATCGCTGGCAAACGCAGACTCAGCAATCTCAACCTCAGGACCAGCAGCTGCCGGCCGGCAACGAGCAAGCATGGTCCTCCGGCGGAAAGCAGTCCTCGTCCTACTCACAAAAGTCGTTCAAAAAACCCAAAATCGAACCCCAGGACGGTTCCCCTACGGGTGGCTCTATGAACACCGGCAGTACTCTGAACATTCCACAGACCGGTTCCGACAAGAAAGGAAACTACAGTTCCGCTGCCATCGGAGCCGCCACCGGAAAGCGTTACAGTTGTTCCTCCTGCCCGTACACCACAGATCGTAGAGATCTGTTCACCCGTCATGAAAACATCCACAAAGAGGAAAAACCATTCCATTGCTATGCCTGCTTGAAGCAGTTCAATCGGGCGGACCACGTGAAGAAGCACTTCCTCCGGATGCACCGCGACATGGAATATGAAATCGCAAAGACGCGAAAGTCGGTCAGCTCCAAGAACAACTACTACAACAACAATACTGCCGCCTCTACGCCCGCTAACAGCAGTTCCAACGTCTCAGTTTCCGTCCTAGCAACTCAACCGATAGTTTCCCAACCAACAACCACCATCCAGGCCAGTACCCTGAACATTCCGACGGCAACGTTCCCAACGCAAATTACCATTCCCACTCATCACGTCGCCACTACGATTGAACATACGGTCAACGTGGGTGGGAGTAGCCACGACATCGCCACCATCAACGGCATTGTCCACCACGTTCAACACCACCAGCAACAACAACAACAACAACAACAACAACAACAACAACAACAACAACAACAACAACAACAACAACAACAGCAACAACAGCAGCAGCCACCGCATCCACCAACACAAATCGTTCTGGCCCCACCGATAGTTGCCATCAAGCAGGAGAAAGGAAGTGCCCTCTCACAGCAGACAGCCACGGCTGTTGCGGCGGCAACCGCCATAGTCAACAATACCCAACAGCACCACGACATCGGTGCCGGTGAAGGAGCCAACGACGACGACAAGTCGTTCGTGAAGAAGATCAAAGGCGAGAAACGATTCACCTGTTGCTACTGCCCGTGGTCCGGTAAGTGCTGTTTTCTTTTCCTTTGTTTTGAAAGGCGGTAAATTCATGGCGTTTTCAAGGGTTAAAAATAAATGTGGAAATAGGCTTGAATGTAACAGATAGGGTTCGAAATGGAAAGGAGCCAAAATTACATTGGAATGCTCCCAGAAGTTCTTTGAAATTGTTCCTTGAAGGAATCTTCCTCCCGACCCCTCTTGAAACTATAACTCAGAATAGAAAATTTCATTAGAATTTCGTTGGAACTATCAATTATGTTTAGATTCCATTTGAGCTCTTCAGAATTCACTTGGCAGTCTTGACAGGATGAGTTTTTAATTTTTGCCTTCTCAACATTCCCAAGGAACTAACCTCATATATTTTGTTATAAAAATTATAAAAATCCAAATGACTGCCTACTAAGTCTAATAAAGCTAAAGATTCAATTTATCCCAAGAATCATTGGTAAATTCAAAGCCGAACTTACTCAGTTGAAGTATTTGCAACTATATTAGCTATGCGATTTTACAGACTCACCACAGTTTGTCATTTGCTGGCCTTCGCGATCTCTTCGTCTTGCTCGTTCCGCAGCAAGTAACGGGTGGAGTTTGGCTTTCCGGCGGTTCCTGTCTCAGAATGGGTGCATTTTTACTGCCACCACCAGCACCGCCCGAACCCTCCCCTAAATGCCTACACTGCTGCAGAGGACACTCGCAATTCTTCTTCCTCTCGGGATAACCCGTCAGACCGCACGTCGGGCCGCAATCGCACCTGCCGGGACAGATAGGCGGCGGTGATCCTGGATCGGCATCGCCCCGAAGTTGTCCACACCGATGCAGTGGGCACTTTCCGTGACAACTTTCGCACAGTACACGATCGCCAGCGGCCAGGCGCATCAGGATTTCACTGGAAGTATCCCCGTCCAGTGCGGCATGTTTGAGAAGAAGCTGTTCGATCAGCGTATTCGAGTCCTCTGATGATGATCGCGGGGAGTGCTTTGTCGATTGTGGTTCCTGCAAGTTTCGACAGCTGCCACAAACGGTACAAGTGGAATTGCTGCACTCGGTCACCGTCGAAAAGGTCTGGACGGAATGTGGTTGCGAGTATTGCGTAGAATCGCTCACGAGCAACCTGGCTGGGAAGAAGTCACGATTGGAGTCCGTCATCGTTGCAACGCACTTGTCGGCCGTTGTCTTCTCCTCCGGCGGGTAAGGATTGTAGTGGTCCCGGGAATGCTGGCAACTGCAACGATGAAATTTATCCGTGTTTATCGATTGACCATGGTTTGAGCTGCGGGCGTTGAACTGGTAGATTTGCAGTTTACGTTTCAGCTCCGAAACCAACTGGCGAAGGCGATCCCGATCGGGGTAGCTGGAGTTTTCGTAGTATTTGCCGCAGATTCGGTTTATGTTGCAATCCGAAAAGTCACCGGAGGTAACAATTTCCTGCGTCACATGGTACAGAAATTGGGACAGTTGACGTTCGTTGTCGGCCATGCTGGAATTGGGGATTGGAAAGGGAGGTTAGTGGGATGATCAGAATTGATGTTGTAGGGTTTAAAGCTGCTCGAAATAAGATCATAGAACTTCAATAGAAGTTTCAATGATCTTCTTGTAGAAGTTTCGAAAACACCGTTCGGCACAGATCTGCGTTAACACGGTGAAGGACGCCCAGCTGGCAAAGTTGTCCTTCTTCGTCATATTCCTCGATCTCTCGCAGGCTTTCGACTGCGTGAACCTCCAAACACTGCTCAACACCCTACAAACCTTAAGCATCCCAAGCAAGATCATCTCCTCAGCGACCGTCATCTTGTCCTCAAAACAAATGAAGGAGACGCTCACAGAGAGGTTAGCGAAGGCCTCCTCCAAGGATGCCCACTGTCAACCATCCTCTTAAACTTCAACACCAGATCGAACACGAAGGATGTGAACTCGTCCAGTTTGGGGATGACTTTGCGGCGGTGGTAACCGGTGGTGCCGCAGCAAAAGCCAACAACTATTTGTCCTAGCTCCAAGCCGAGCTCGTTAGGCTGGAATCTAAAACCAACGTTTCCAAAAGCGCCGCAGTTGCTTTCACGAGAAAAGACACCAGCGTAGTAAGGATCAGTATAGGACGAGAGAACGTGGAGCTGAACAAAATTCATCGTTACTTGAGGTACACAGTCGACAGGACTCTTACACACAGAAAACACATCGAGGACATCCGAGACAAAGCAGCCGCAAAGGTAAAAATAAGCCAGATGCTCGGGAAGCGCAGCAGTAGTGCCAACCCGAACACACTAGTCAAAATTGGGAACGCCATCATCCGCAGCCGACTATACTATACATTGGTTTACATGCATATACGTTGTCCGGAGGCCGCCATATTGGAACCAAAATGGCGGCGGATGTCCGTTTCTTACTTTGACTGTAATCCAAGGTATTGATTTTCCCTTTGGTGATTTTTTTACCTCAAAATCAGGTTAAAAACAGCCTTGATTTTCTGCTTTCTGATTTTGCTGACCTCAAGATCAGCAGTGATTTTCGGCCGTTCCTGATTTTGGATTTAGAGGCATTACATTGGATTTGGATTCGCCATCTTGAATTCGAAAATAGCGGTGGATGTTAATTTTCCGCTTCTACTCACAGAGCCCATTCCGTAGACACCAATATTGCATGGGTTTAGATCAAGGGGTAAGTCACTCAGCACATTGTGCCGAAATTAGATTCGGCCCTGCTTGGGCACACCTTCGGCAAAATCTCGTAGGCATTGGATTGTCAGACCAGTTGTTCACTTATAGATTTAAATACGAAATGTAGGTTCTAGAGTGGGCTCAAGAGAAAGAAGCGGTTTATTAGACCCCATTAGTACCCTTAATTCAAATAATGCTGCAAATCACACAAAACAAACTACAGAAGTCTATTCATCATCCTCTATAGTCGGTTTCCAACAATGTTCCCCACCGGGTCTGGCCGCTAAAGTTGATTTTCACATCACGAAAGGCTAGGTCTCTGGTCTACCTTTGAGGGCATTATAATAACACAGGACTTTTATGATCCTATGAACACAAAACACCAAAATTTCGCACACCCGCCACTTCCCGAGTCATCCTCAATCCGATTTATGCTTCCGTTTTCAAACCAAAACATTCAGGGTGTCAGAAATACCGGGTTACCGGGATGGGTATTTTACAAATAATCGCAGCTTGCTCTGTGACCGGCACACTGACAAAAAAAAATGACCTAGGATTGGTGTGCAGAGTGACCTACCCCTTGGTTTAGATGCATATTCGCTGTCCGGAGGCCACCAGATTGGATTTTGGTCCGCCATCTTGGATTTGTGGAAGCCATCGTGTGTTGAAATCCACCATTTTGAATTACATCCGGAATGCTGACATGAATTTCGGAATGTCCCAGACTCCACAATTTAACATATATAACGGCGCCGGTGGTGTAGTGGTAAGCGTGATTACCTCTCACCCCAGCATGCCTGGGTTCAATCCTAGTCGGCGCCGCCGGGATGTTCTGAGGCATAACATCTCTGATCACGCCTTCCTTCGGATGGGAAGTAAAGCCGTTGGTCCCCGGTTCATGAGTTGATGGGTCGATGGGTAGGGTCCAGGTGTGGGAGCTGCCTTCCTGGCACGTCGGTAGCATTGGTGCTCAGCACGGAAAACAAGATCGACGGAAAAAAAAACCAAAGAAAAAAAAAAATTAACATATCTTCTAATCCTATGATTTTGATCTTGGTTGATATTGATGCTGGTTGATTTTGGGAATTGAAAATCACAGCCGATATTGGTGGTGATGATGGCTTATGATATTGGTGCCTGTTATGTTAGGTGATATTGATCTTGAAAGATAGCTGATTTCGATATTCTGATCTTAATTTTAGCCAACACTGGATGGATTGATTAATTTTTAAAAGATGTTCCGCCATAAGTGAACCTGTCAGAATAGTATCCAAATCATCATTAAGTAGTTCAAATACCATCCCCAGACAAGTCACGAATGAACCTGAAATCATAGTAGTCGTTGGATTACCTGACGTGGTCACTCCTGTTATTTTTCGCTGTCATTCCAATTCAAGAGCTCGATGTGAGCAATTCAAGTTTGCTTCAAAAAAACATTCTTTTGTTCGTTAAGTGTCGGCCTGTTCATTATTGTCCCGTCCTGTCCACGTAGTTCCTTCAGGTTATGGGCTCGTCTACGAAGGAGGAAGGCTCCGAAATTGCGCAGTTGAATGGAACGAACTTCGAGAATTGGCGGTTTCGAGTTCAACTGTACCTGGATGCGGCAGAAGTTTCGGACGTATTAACCAAGCCAGTTCCCGGTGCATCGGATCAGGGAAGGGCGAAGCTTTTGCAGACAGATCGGAAAGCGAAGTCCTTGCTAGTTGGATTCCTTTCTGGTGAATGTCTAGGCATAGTACGGGACAAGGAGACTGCTCGAGTAATGTGGAAGGCACTGGAAGATACATATGCGAAGAAGTCTGTAGCAAGTCAGACCCTACTGCGGAAGCAGTTGGCCAGGGTCCGTATGAAAGAAGGAACTTCAACAGTTCGACGATATCATACGCCAACTCAAATCGGCAGGCGACATGGTATCGCAATTATTTCTCACCCTTCCCGATAGCTACCACTCCCTTGTAACGGCTCTAGAGAATATCAACGAGAACGACCTCACATTGGAGACTGTGAAACAGCGGTTACTGGCTGAAGAATCCTGATAGCAGGTATGCAGCTGACCACCATAATGAAGCTGAAACGCGAACTGTCGGCGATGTTTGAAATGACCGATTGCGGAGAGTTGACTCACTTTCTTGGGATGAAGATACGGTACGATCAACAAAATGGTAGAATGATGCTGTCTCAAGAAACCAGCCTGGAAAAGATCTTGCAGAAGTTCGGCATGGCGGAGTGCAATGCAACAAGGACGCCAATGGAGAAAGGAATTAAATTGGATCGTCAAGTGGCCGAAGGTGTTCAAGAACCGCACCGTGAATTATTGGGAAGCCTGAGGTACGTGATGATGTCCACAAGGCCGGACATTTGCTTTCCTATCGGATAGCTGGGGAGATTCCAACTTCAACCTGGACAACAACATTGGACAGCTCTGAAACGGGTTGTACGATACTTAAAAGGATCGATGGAGTGTTGCTTGACGTTTACTCGAGACAATCAAGCGGCGCCACTCTTCGGGTTTGCTGATTCAGACTGGGCCATCGATACGGACGACCGGAAATCAGTAAGCGGATTTGTTTTCCGTGTTTTCGGATGTACTGTTGCGTGGTCAAGCAAGAAGCAAACAACAGTTGCAACTTCTTCAAGCGAAGCTGAATATGTAGCGTTGAGTGCTGCAGCATCGGAAGCAATATGGCTAGTTGGTGTTCTAGGCGATATCGGTGAGCTGAATATTGAACCAATCACCATAGGCGAGGACAACCGTGAAGAGTAAGAGAGCCAAACACATCGACATTAAACACCATTTTCTTCGAGATCATGTCGCTGCTGGTAAGCTATTGGTGGAGCCGACTGCCAGCAACAACCAGTTGGCTGACTTCTTCACTAAATCGTTGGACGTCGGACGTCGGATGCTGGGACTATCCAAGCGAGAGGGGGTGAAATCAAAGTAGTCGTTGGATTACCTGACCTGGTCACTCCTGTTATTTTTCGCTGTCATTCCAATTCAAGAGCTCGATGTGAGCAATTCAAGTTTGCTTTAATAAAACATTCTTTTGCTCGTTAAGTCTCGGCCTGTTCATTATTGCCCCGTCCTGTACACGTAGTTCCTTCGAAACCAAAAGCGTTAAAACGACTAACGGTCTTGGAAAAAAAATCATTAAGTTTGTCGAAATTTCTTCAAATTTTGTCTTGCGTTAGAATTCTCTAGAATTCTACTCATAATCCTGACAATAATATCTTAAGAACTACGTTGGAATTCACCTTTAAGGCTCAAGCGCAATGTGGGCGGAAGCGGAACGGAAACGGAAAGTTTGTCAGTTGTCACAAATGGCATCAAGATGCCTAACCGAAGTCGATTTGATTCTAACTAGTTTTCAATCCGACAAGTAGGCTTACTCAGATCGGGCTTTTTCCGCTGCCGCTCCGCTTTCGCTGTCATTGCACTTGGGCCTTTAGTTCTCCTCACAATTTTCCCTAAATACTTCTCAAATTATCTTGAGCTTCAAGTCCAATTCCTTTGTAATTGTTGTCAGTATTCCTAAAGATAGTAAATTTTAGAGGATTACAATTCGCATCAAACCTCATTTAGCATTCTCATAAAAATTCTTTTAACAATTCTTCAATGTGTCAAAATCCTAAAATGTTATCTTAGTTCAAGGTTTCTGCTTTAGACAAGGGGTTGGTTACTACACACAGTGTGCTAAAAACAAGCTTGGGCACACCTGGGCACAGTCATTGGCACTGTTTGGCACTCATGGTTACAATTTTTCTGATCTTCAAAGGTACTGGCAACACTGATTTTTTTCTAGGTTTGCGCAGTGTGCATGTGTCACAATTTGTTATTGATGTTGCCACAATACAATCAGTTTTTTTTTCAAACCACAACCCTGAATCTGCGCCAAGTCCTGCCATGGATTTGTCATAACCTAAGAGGAAGAGGAGACAATAGGGGGACTTTAATGAACCAATTTTCTGTCAAACGCGAACCAGCGACTGATTGGTCGGGCGAACGTATAGAAACGTGAGAATTTTTACAACAGGGAATCTATTTTCTTGTATTTTGACAGTCGACTGCGTCGCCCATAATGAAAAAGTTTTTTCACGGTCATTTCCGCAAGAGAAGAAGAACACGTCACAGACAAAAAGAAGCCAGCTGTCTCCTCTTCCTCTTAGCTCAAAACCAGGGCCCCTCAAAGTCACTTTCAATCGAAAAGCATCAAGTGACGATGAAGCTGTAAACCATCACTTTCAATTGAAAGTCATTCTGTCTTCTCTTCGAGCAGACCCCTGTCAACATCAACAGAACCACTTTCGATCAGTTTTAATGCTGTTTGCTGACTCGTGTTCATTTCTTCTTTCATTGTCAAATGAACTTACTTTTGCATTGAAGCAAAGCTGTTCGATCAAAATTCGCGCAGTTTTTATGACTTTTGCTGATTGTTCACTCGGTTCATTTAAGCGTATGCGCATAGATCTGTGCACGTTGATGTCATATTTATCATTGTCGGGTGGTTTGTTTACCCATCAATATGGGCATTTTTTTTAATCGGTGTGACGTCTAGAAATCGAGCATTTATGTTCGACGCCATTTTTAAATCCAAGATGGCGGCTTCCAGTTCTATAAAAAGTGTTAAATACTATCAAATACCTATCAATAAAGGTATTTTTGGAATCGGGGTGATGTCTACGGGATGAAAATCGATATCCGACGACATTTTGAAATCGAAGATGGCGGCTTCCGGCTCAATGAAAAGTGGAAATACAGTCAAATACACATCAATATTGATATTAATGTAATCTTTATGAAGTCTACAGATCGAAAAAAATGATATGCGACGCCATTTAGAAATCCAAGATGGCGACTTCCGATTTCAGAACAAATGGGAAATATTGTCAAATACCCATCAATTTAAGTATTTTTGGAATCGGGATGGCGTCTAGAGGCCTGAAATCGATATCCGACGCCATTTTGAAATCCAAGACGGCGACTTCCGATTTGCGTAAAAGTATCAAATACCCTAAAATATGGTTATTTTTAGAATGGGGATGAGACTTAGATGCCGAAATTTGATGTCACGCCGCTTTTAAATCCAAAATGGCGCCTTCGGTTCAGAAAAACTGTGAAATACTGTCAAATACCGATCAATGTGGGTTTTTTTGGAATCGGGTTGACATCTAGAAGCAAGAAATCGATGTCTGATGCCATCTTGAAATTCATGATGATGGCTTCCGATTTCAGAAGAAGTGTCAAGTGGCCTGCAAATGGCATCGAATATCGATTTTCAGCATCTACGCGTCGTGGGAATCGTAAAGTTTCCCGTTCCGAAAAATACTCCGATATTAGGGTATTTGACACTTTTTATGAAACCTAATGGCCGCCATATTGGATTTCACAATGGCATCGGATATAGATTTTCGGCATCTACACGTTGTACCCATTCCGAAAATAATCATATTGTAGGGTATTTGAAGCTTTCTGAACCCTCATGGGCCATATTGGATTCCAAAATGGTATCTGAACATAATGTCGGATATCGATTTTTCACATCTACGCGTTGTTCCCGTTCCTAAAATACCCATATCTTAGGGTATTTGACACTTCCGAAAACCAATTGTCACTATTTTGATTTCAAAAATGGCATCGGTAATCGATTTTCAGCATCTACCCGTTCCGAAAATACCCATATTGTAGGGTATTTGAGATTTTTCCTGACCTCGAGGGCCGCCATATTGGACTCCAGAATGGCCTCGTTAATTTAATTTTCGTTTAACATAAAATAATATATTATCACTATTTATAACCCGGATGCCATCCCTATCGGCAACCGATATTGTGCGGATACTACATTTTGTTGCTTGACGACGCGATGAGTGAAAAGTCGAATGAGCCCGAATTGAAGTGAAAGTGGAAAAAACGAAGGAAGCAGTTTTCGAGTCATTCATTTCGTCAATTGAAACAAATATTTGCTTCAAATGAAATGAACTAAAGCACTTGACGAACGAAACAAGCGATAGTCAAGTAATGTTTGAAAGGAGTAATGTTCATCGTGACTCGATAACAAGAAACACAATGTCTTACACGAAAATGATATTGCTCGAAATGAAGCGATTCGGCGGAGAGTTCATTTTCTTTTCTTTGTTTCGAAAATGCATAGCCCTGCTCAAAACACAGTCAGCGCACATTCTAATGCCAGTTCGAAGAAGTAGATTCCGTGCCGATTCAAATTTCGGACACTTAAACTCGAATTTCGGACACTTTTAAAAGTTGATTATCTCGGTCGAATATGATCCACATGTCTTGTAAATTTTAAATTTTTTTGACTAGTTCCCTCCACCATCATCTAACATTATTACTTTGTTTCTAACTGGATGTAATATTTAATTAAAAATGAAAGTGTGAAATTTGAATCGTCCGAAATTTGAATCGGAACGGTACATCATTCCGCGCCAGACTACGTACAATCATTCAGACCACCCTGCATGAACAAATCAGGGCAATTGCTTGCATAGCAACACTCCGCAATCAATCCCAACATTACCGGAACATTTTCTCCTATCTGGGCTCTATCCGTTCATTAGATGGACAGAAGGACAGCTGACAGTGGCGATTGAGCTTTAGTTGGAAAGTCAATAGCCAAACAAAAACTCTACTATTCGACCTCGCCTCTAACTGGAACTGCTCGAAGACATACCCTGCATTGCGGTGGCGGCTGCTGCTACACCAACCATTCCATCGTCCAGCATAGAATGTTGCAGGATCGTCTTGGCAAAATCCACCCGCAAGGTCCATATCTCGGAACGGAACCTACACGGCGAATGAGAACAACCCAAATTTGAGTTTAGCGTACTTATAAATTACATAAAGTGCAGAAACTCAGCAGTAAATTTGCCTCATGTTTTTCCATTAGGACCAAGATGTCTTAATTCCTACGATCAATCCAAAAGGGCAGCCCACGACTCGTAGATTGAAAAACGTAGACGAATAGTACTCACGGAACGTCAAGAAACGCAGGAAATTCCAGTGTTCTGATCATTTTCAAAACATCGAACAACTCTCAAAACTCCAGGAACTTCTGATCATCCCACCATCCTTCGAACTCCAAAAATAAGGGTATAATTGTCTTGAAAATTGTTCCGGGTTCTCTTCCACGATAAGCTTTCTAACTTAACAAATTCAAAGATATTTTACTCGATCCTAATAAACATTTAGCTACCTACACGATAATCCAGATATTCAGATCTCTCAGCAAATTTGGTACTTACAATGTATCTGTTTGTAAATTTTATAACACGAGAATTTTGAAAGTTCTGCCAAATGCACATATTTGTACTGTTCTGCTAATACATTTAAATTATTTAAATTGCGATTCACCACTTCTCAAAACACAAACATAACATGACAGTTCGTTCTAGGTCCTCCTGCAAAGCCTACTGCCTACATTGTCACCTAACGCTTTTGATTCACTCTTCTACTCTTCTACAGGTGCCGACAACTGGGGTCTCAAGCGTCACCTGAACACCCACACGAAACCGTTCGTCTGTATGCTGTGCGACTACAAGGCGGCCCGTTCCGAGCGCCTGGCCACGCACGTCTTCAAAGTCCACAACAAGAAGGCCTGCAACAAGTGCAACTACTTCGCCGAGGACCAAGATCAACTCAACACCCATCAGCTCGAGGCACAGTAAGTATCACTCATTTACGAGCGTCCAACTAACTAACTGCGCGTAGAATAAGACAAACGAGTACCTACTAACCACACCGATATTGAACATTTGAATGTCTCTAGCCCAAACGAAGTAAGCAAACCGGCAAAGACTACGGTCGTCGGTGGAACGATTAACAGCCCCACCGTGGTGGCCACATCCACCATCAGCGGAACGGGCAACGTGTTGCGCAATCTAGGAAATACCTTTGTTCCGAACAATATCCACGGGAACGCCAGTGGGAACTCCTTCGGGTGAGCAGACGTTTCACTTGTCGTAGACTGTTTGTTGAATTTGTTTTTTTTTTGGTTGTAACATTTTGTGTAGTTTTGCAAGCACTTTCGTTATTAGCACTTTGTCAATCACAACAAGAGACTGTGTAGACTGTTTTGGATTGCGTTAGGTTCGAAATTAATTTTTATGCAAAAGCCGTGTGTTCAACCCATCGTCTAACCAAATTAATAATTTAAAGAAATCGTTCCCCATCTCTTTGAAAACCCATGCCTTGCCTCACGCGACCTGCAAATTGATTGACGATCCAGGACGACGACCAACCACACCAACATCTACCACACGATAACGACCTCCGCCACGACGGGGAACATACTGACCAACAGCAACGCGTCCAATCTGATCGATACGATCAATGCCCATCTGGCCCAGACGGCCAACAACAATATCGGCGGCAGTGGTGGTGGTGGTGGTGGTGGTGTTTCTGGTAGTGTCATTCCGGGAAACGGCATAGGTGGAGGGGTAACGCAGGTGACCACAAATGGCCCTCAACACCACCTCCACCAGCAACAGCATCAACAACCTCCTACATCACACCATCAACCTCAACAGCAACAGCAACAGCAACAGCAGCAGCAGCAACAACAGCAAACAACCCACCACTGGATAGCCAAGGTCAATCGGAAACGGGGAGCTGAGCTCCTATACAGCTATCTGGAGGCGGACGGAAGCGACTCGGAAGATTATGCCCGGTAAATTTGAAAGCGTTTGAGTTGCTGTTTTGCGGATAGTTTCGTTTGTTTTTCGGTTCACTCCACACTCGAATTTTACATTTTGACTGGTTGATTTTATTTTTTTAGGTTTTGACACTTCTGTTTTTGATTAGGTTGATTATTCTGTTCATCTGTTATATTCACTAGAATGGAAGAAAAATTTTCCGAAAAAGCACATTGCCAAATTTAGCTGTAAGAATTCGATCAGACTTCTAAAAATAATTCTGTCACGCAGAAGTAATACAAACATAAATAGTTAAAGTACATAACTCTACATGGGAGCTTACCATCAATCATACTTTCATTGGTCGAAAGGTACAGTAGCAGCACCTCCCCTAACCGTGCCTCCTCGAGATCGTCAAGTCGACGATGACAAGAGCACATACAGTGGTAGTGGTAACAATAGCTGCAATTTCCAAACCTACGACTAGATGCCTCCCTTCAGATAACGACTTGAGTGTAAAGCCCTACAGTAAAAGAGTGGACGTCTGTCAAAAGTTGTTCCAATCGAACCGTCAAAATGAACCGCTTTGCTCGATTGGAACAGCTTTTTCAGTTTTGTGGTGACAGTCGTCCATACTTTACTAGAGGGCTTTACTTGAGTGCGGTACAATCGATAGAACTGTTCAAACACATCGTCGGTACATGGGCAAATCGGTGATCATTTCTTTTTGCAGTGGTGGCGCGGGGGGGGGGGAGTATACCCCTCACCATCCCTCTCGAACTGGTTAGTTTGGTAAAGAGAGATGATCAACCCGATTCGTACCTTCATCAAAGTTGTCCTTGCTCGCTTTCTACTCTCTATATACAATTTTCACACTGCCATACAGTGCTGAGATTTTGACATTGTCATTGACAGATTTTCGCGCTATATTGACAAAATTGTTTATCACGTAGTCACTGATAAATTTGATCCTCAAACAAACTTTTGTCAAAATCTCATTCATTTTTTCATCAATGGCGAAGATTCACCTAGCTACAAAACGTTTAATTTCGTGCATTCTGTGTCATATTTTGTTATCCAAGCAGTTGAGGACGTAGACGCTTTTTCACTTTAACGGCTCCATGTAATTGTTTTGCTCAATTCATTTAATTTCGTTACTAATTTAGCTAATCAAAACATCTGCACATGACATGGTTTGCCTTGACGATGACTGTTAGCAAAAATGAGAGACCAAAGCATTTGAATATCGCCGTGTATTGTCGAGATTTTGCAGCACTGCTGCCATACTCTAATGGAACTATCAACTCTATACTTTCATCACCGACAAACCGACATGAAACTTAAACTTAACTCTTGATCGAGAATCCATAACGGCCGATTCAAATGTGCAGCGATCCTCGGTCGGTTTGTCGGTGCTTTCATCTCCTCATCTACCGTATAAAAATGGCCACTTTATACCCCGGACAGACTATGACTTATATCATGTAATATAGGCTGTCTTGCAATGAGCACTCATACATCTAGTTTTGACTGGAAATCCTATGTATGAGTGCTCATTGCAAGGCAGTCTATATTACATGATATAAGCCATAGTCTGTCCAGGGTATTAGTCTGTTATTTTAAATTAGCATCTTCAACTATATAATTCTGTCATTGTTTGTAAAATAATTGGATGTAAATGGAAGTAACTGTAGCTTTGTGATACAAAGGGGACAAAAGAACCCGAGCAAAACTAGGATTTTTTGTGCAGAAATGCTAGTTCAAGTACAAAATTAGCAATGTGGCTTGTCAAATTTATAAATGAATCATATCGTCAAGCCATTTTCTACAGAGATGCCGCTGTTCTGCTGGTAGGATCGATCGTTGTTCCTACCAGTACTCCTTCTCAACGATCTCCGTCGGTCAATCCCAGCATAACAGAGAACTTCCGAAGTTGTCTTCGGTTGAACAATACAACAGTTGCAATACCTTTGCATCGCACAACTCCTTGACGAAACACTGCTGAGTCTCAATGTGTCTCGAACGCTTGGTTGTCCGTTCCGAAACGATGAAGTAAATGCAGCTCTGGTTGTCCTCCCACAGCGTCGCTGGCTTGAAGGACGGTTCACCGAACTCGTCTGAAGGACGGTTCACCGAACTCGTCGAACAAATTCAGAAACCAAACAGTCTCTTGGCTCGCCTCGCTCAACGCCACGTATTCCGATTCCTTCGAAGACAGTGAGACGAAATTCTGTAGATGGCTTGTCCACGAAATGGCCCCGCCTGCGTACACGAAAACGATGCCGGTCGTCGACTATCGAGTTTTCAAATCACCCGCTTAGTCCGCATCTGAGTATCCAGTCAACTTGCCGTCAGAACTTCAACTGCCAGTTCTTTGTACTTTTCAGGTAGCGAACTACCCGTTTAGCCACTATCCAATCGCATCTCCCCAAAATGGACACACTAGCAGCGTTGTCCGGTCTCGCGCAGACACCTGCAACCACTTCTGAGTGCGGTTCGAGGTGTGGCACGGAGCCCCATCTTGTTGAAATACAACATTTGGCTTCGGACCGTACTGTTCTTTGATCCACGGAAGAACATACCTACTTAAAATCCCGATGTAGATGTAGAATGAACACCGGGTCCATTTTTTTGCCATCGGAAGCCACCAATCCAAACACCATAACGCTAGCAGGATGCTTGGTCAGATACACGTTCTTGTGCTCGTCGACCACGTCTTTTACCGGAAGAGAACTAATATACCGGTCGGTTCTGGAATTTGATACGGGATCGACGGTAAACATGCTCTCGTCGGTGAACAGGATTACCGGATTTTTTCGCTTAAAGAAGTTCAAGATTTTCTTGCATCTTTCGACTCGTAGCTCCCGGATGCGGTTGGTAATCAAAGTCCTGCCAAAGTTCAGGGAAGTCCTGACGAAGTTCAACGAAGTCCTGTTGAAGTTCAGGGAAGTCCTGACGAAGTTCAGGAAAGTCCTGCTGAAGTTCAGGGAAATTCTGCAGAAATTCAGGGAAGTCCTGCCAATGTTCAAGGAAAGCCTGTCGAACTTCAAGAAAGTCCTGCTGAAGTTCAGTGAAGTCCTGACGAAGTTTAGCGAAGTCCTGCCAATTTTCAGGGAAGTCCTGCCGTAGTTCATCAAATTCCTTCCGAAGTTCCGCGAAGTCCTGCTGAAGCTGAGGGAAGTCCTGTTGAAGTTCAGGGAAGTCCTAACGAAGTTCAACGAAGCCCTGTTGAAGTTCAGGGAAGTCCTGACGAAGTTCAGGAAAGTCCTGCTGAAGTTCAGGGAAATTCTGCAGAAATTCAGGGAAGTCCTGCCAATGTTCAAGGAAAGCCTGTCGAACTTCAAGAAAGTCCTGCCAAAGTTCAGGGAAGTCCTGCCGAAGTTCAGCGAAGTCCTGCTGAAGTTCAGGGAAGTCCTGCCGTAGTTCAGCGAAGTCCTGCTGATGTTCAGGAAAGTCCTGCCAAAGATCAGGGAAGTCCTGCTGAAGTTCAGTGAAGTCCTGCTGATGTTCAGGAAAGTCCTGCCAATGTTCAGGGAAGTCCTGCCGTAGTTCATCAAATTCCTTCCGAAGTTCAGGGAAGTATTGCTGAAGTTCAGGGAAGTCCTATTGAAGTACAGGGAAGTATTGCTGAAGTTCAGGGAAGTCCTGATGCAGTTCATGGAAGTCCTGCCGAAGTTCAGGGAAGTCCTGCTAAAGTTCAGGGAAGTTCTGCTGAAGTGTAGGGAAGTCCTGCCGAAGTTCAGGAAAGTCCTGCTGAAGTTCAGGGAAGTCCTGCCGTAGTTCAGCGAAGTGAAGTCCTGACGAAGTTCAGCGAAGTCCTTCCAATGTTCAGGGAAGTCCTGCTGATGTTCAGGGAAGTCCTGCCGAAGTTCAGGGAAGTTCTGAAGTTCAGGGAAGTCCTGCCGAAGTTCAGAGAAGTCCTGCTGCAGTTCATGGAAGTCCTACCGAAGTTCAGGGAAGTCCTGCTGAAGTTCAGGGAAGTGTTTTTGTGTTTTGTGAGGACGTTCAAAATCTCATCGTTCTTCCACCAGTGAAAACTGCTCACGCACAGATACATGCAAAAGCCAGTTGTTTGCTTAGGAAAACGAAATCTAATGCTTGGAATTGCGTTACAAAAAATGGTTTGCATTGAAATAATGCATTTTACAGGTATGTTGTTTTCGGAGGAAATGTTCCTCAAAATATTTTGAAACGATCTACGGGAGTGAAATCTGACCTTTCATTCGAAATACTTGTGTAATTGATGGGCAAACTTAGCGACCACTATGATTGTGGTCCTAAAATTGAACGTAGAAAATGGTTTACAGAAAATTTAAACAATAAATCAATCTTGTAAAAATTGCTAGAGATAGCAATTTTAGTTCTTTAATTTTGCACGGAAGAGTTTTTTCGATTGAGCGCTGCGTTATTTTTTTTTTTTAAATCGATGAAGTGAGTCATTCTAAACCGATCTACTTTCACCTTAATGGCAACATTCATGGAATCCCTTCACTTCACGTATTCACTAGCACAGATCAAGCCATCCAGAAGTCATACAGGTCTGAAAATTAAACGCGATCATTGCTTCTCTGCAGCCAACATGCAGTTTCATTTTGAACTTTGTACATTAAGTAGATCACCAAATGTGTGCCCGTGAAAATGCAAAGGGATAAAACAAATTGTATGGAAAATGGATTCCGTCAGTCGAGTCCTTAATTTGTTTTCAGTCCGTCCCCAGAAATCCATTAAATTTTATTCCGTTAAAATAAAGGGTGTACCACATCAAATTGCATCACGGAAAAAACGCTGTAGAAAATTACCTAGTTGACCGATCCTTTTCAAACTTTCAGACAATAAAATATAACCCATTAGTAAGCCTTTGGTATATTTATTTCATTCAACTTCAATACCATAACCGTACGCTCGCACCTTACGCTTAACTGTACACTGTACAACATCTGGCTGCAGCTTCTTCTGTACGGAAGCACACTTTTTCTTCATGTCTTCCTCAGATTTGACCTCCTTGGGATGCTTCCGTAGTGCCTGCTTCATAATAGCCTAGTATTTTTCGATGGGCCTTAGTTCCGGTGCGTTGAGGAGGGGGTTCATGTCCTTGGGTACGAAAGTGACCCCGTTGGCTTCGTACCACTCCAGGACAACATTTGAATAGTGGCACGAAGCTAGATCCGGCCAGAAGATCGTAGGGCCCTCGTGTTGCTTCAACAGAGGGAGCAGACGCTTCTGTGGACACTGCCTTGAGGTAGATCTCCCCGTTTACAGTTGCCACATGAGTAGATCGCTTGCCAAATCATGTATTTCTTGGCAAACTTTGAAAGTTTCTGCTTCCTTACTTGCTCCGGAACATCAAACTTGTGCTGGGCGGTGAAGAACAGTTTCGCCTTGACGTAAGTCTCATCATCCATGATGAGACAATGAGGCTTCGTCAGCATCTGGGTGCACAGTTTCCGGGCCCGTGACTTTCCCACCGTATTTTGCCGTTCGTTGCGATTTGGAGCCTTCGTATGCAGTCCCTCCCGGTCCTTGGCTCTCTGAACGAAAGACTTGGACAGATTCAACTTTTTGGCCACATCCCTGACCGAAGCATTGGGATTCCGCTTAAACGCTTTCACGACACGCTTGTGATCCTGATCACTAATAGAACATCCATTTTGACCGCATTTCTCCTTCCGTTCGATGCTCAGAGTTTCGTAGTAACGTTTAATTAAATGACTCACCGTTGACTGCACGATTCCGAGTTGTTTTCCGATGTCCCGATGAGAGAGTTGAGGATTTTCCAGGTGCTTGCGCAAAATCAATTCGCTACGTTGCTCTTCGGGGGACGCCATTCCTTGCAACTTTCGAAAAACTGACAGCGATAAAAATACAGTGTAAACAATACACTCTAAACTACTTCTACTTTAATTTTCAAGAGAAAATACCCAATGGGTAATTTTCTACAGGGTTTTTTCCGTGATGCAATTTGATGTGGGACACCCTTTATATCTGGTTCCAGACATAGCCAAAAACAACGATTTATTTTTATTTTTTCTCTTATAAATAGTGCACGGAGAAGACATACGCCACTGTTATGTGGATTCATCTGTTTTTTTTAATCCTTAATTTGATAAATATCGTTTAGTTTACTTTAAGTTAATTAACACTGCGAACACGATGCCTCCGGTCAAATCAAGACCAACAATTGAAAAGGCCTCAATTCCATTTTGTAAACAAACCTTGTAGGGCCATTCTGTAGTCAACGCAAACCAACAAAATGACCAGGTAGGGGGAATTCTCCTCTACCTGATTGTGTTTTAGGTTTACGAATGTAGGTTTCGGTTCGCGAGAAAATGGCCTTACAAGGTTTGTTTACAAAAAGGAGTTGGTCATGAAATGTGTAACGGCAAACTTGCAATGTTTGAAAAATCATAGCTCAGTATCTCGTTAATAAAGAAAACTAAACTAAACTAATAGCTCAGTCATTTATTGAAGAATTTCAAATTTGAAACTAGGAGTTTAAAGTTTTATTCGGTATCAATAGGTTTAAAATCTATCGATAAATTGCTGATTTTTCAAACATTGTCAATTTGCCGTTACACATTCTGAATATCTTGGTTTAAGTTATTTTCCATTCATAAATGTCTGTATAAAGAGAGAGAGAGAGAAGGATTAGTAATCTCCATTTTATTCCACTACCTTATTTGGTTATCCTTGACAGATACACGTATATCGTCTGCAATGTGCAGACTTCTTCAGTGTCTTGTACTAATTCTCGACTCGAGACACTGAAGAAATCTGCATATGGTGGACGAAATACGTGAATCTGTCAAGGATAAGAAAATAATGCGAAGGAATTAAATGGAAATTACTAATCCATCTCTTTCTCTCTTCATACGGGTATTCCACTAAGGACGCCCACATTGATCAGGATAAGTTTCTAATTCGCACCAATCCCTTCTTCCTCTCTCATTACAGCTTACTCAACATGCAAGCGGTTGGCCGTAACAAAGCTTCCGTCACGCAGGATTTTCATAATGCGGGAGGCGGAAACCAACAATACAGCAACAGTAGCAGCAACAGCAGCAGCAACGGTACCAACATGCTATCACTCCTGGTGGCAGCATCCTCATCGGCATCATGCTCACCCACGCATGCATCGCCCTCGTCACCGTCGTCACCGGCGTCATCCCTGGCATCGCCAACGGAAACGGCTGCTACTGGTTGCTCCACAATGCAACAGCATCAACCTGGCAAGATTCCCATGACCGCTAATGGGATGGCAATGGCCAACCTGACTGAGGAGCATCTCTCGTTGCTCCAACTATTGGCCACTGCCGCCGTTGCTCAACAACATCTGCAGCAACAGCAGCAACAACAGCAGCAGCAGCAACAACAGCAACAACAACAGCTGCAACAGAAGGCGACGTCGACAACGATTAGCACTTCGCCTCCCGCGAATCAACCTCACCAACAGCAGCAACTACCGAACCACCACCACCACCAGAATAGTACAAACCACTCGGCCAGCGATCCCGTGAACAACAATGGTTCCAAGCGACGTCGTAAAAGTAGTTCCCGAAACGATAAGGAGAATTTGGTCCACCGCCATCCGGCCGCCGCCAGCGGCAAGGTCATCGATCTTACAACCCCCAACAGCGCCGCGACCGGTCCAGCCGAAAACGGAATTGAACGGAACAACAACAGCAGCAGCAACAATAACAATAGTACCGTTAACAATAAGAATATAAACGAAACTATTTTTGATAGAGTGTATAAGAAACCGTACAATATGTTTTTAACGAATGCGTTCTGCAAGCCAACGTCGATCGCCGAGAAGGTCGACAAGGTCCCCAGGGACGAAAACTTTTCCCTGACCGAATTCCTTCGGAACCACAAGGAAGTCTCGATCAGTTCGCTGTCGTCGGCGAACAAGACCCGGGGCGACGACGACGACGTGATCTTCATCAAGGAGGAGGCAAGGCTCGGCCGAAAGCAGCAGCTACCCCGGCGAAAACTGCCGGCGGAATCGGACCTGAATCAAAGCACCGATCAGCAGCAGATCGCTGACATCCGGGATAAGCACATGATCCGGTTGATAACGCGGAAGCTGTGCTGCCGGATCTGCCAGAATCAGCAACGTCTGGAGCATTCGGACAACTGCCACTACCACAGCAAAACGTCGCTGATCCTGCACAACCGCTGGCGCCACGGGCGGCCCACGGCGGAGCAGTGCAAGCTGTGTCGGGCAACCTTCGACCGGAAGTATAAGCTTATCTTGCATCAACGGTTGCGGCACTCGAAGAAGAGGAAATTGGCGCCAAAAAGCGTTAAGTCCAAGAAGAGCGTGTCGTCCACTGCCGGCAAGAAGGTTTCCAGCAAGAAGAAACCGCAAAAGCAGCAGAAGGAACGGAAACGGAAGTCCAAAAGCCGCTCCGGCAGCAACAAACGGCGCAAGTAGATGGTAGGTGTAAAGATTTTGAACATTTTTTTATTATTATCGTGTACTAAAAGGCGGTAGCTATCTGTATTATACTGTGGTAGAAATGTACGGAGTCTACTCATCCGTAACGCACTACGATTGGGCAGGTGAAACATATTTAGCAACGTAGAGTAGAACCGAAACAGAGATTTGATGTGTGTTTTCGCACAAGATACTACTTTTACTTTGACTTTAACTTTAAACATTTATAAAATATTTTATTTCATATTTCAAACAACGGAACCAGAACAAGCTCAATCCAAGTTTAGAAGAAGAAGAAGAGGAAGAAAAAAGACAGAGAGATTAATCCCGATTCGGCTAAGCCAAGGCGTGCAATCTATTCCTAAAAATTCTCCTACGAATGACTAACTTCTATCTTCACGCAGAGGAAACGTACAAAAGTATCGAACAAAACTATATATTTTCTCGTAAAACATTTATACAACCCGGAATGGTACCTATTAGGTATTCATATTATATTCTACTTGCCATTTGCCACGCGCAGTCCAAAACTCAAAACGACAAAGTATATTATTTTGTTACCTATTAGCGATTGCACCACCCGTTCTCAGTTCGCTACATTAGAGGAAGCGGGAAAATTTTCGTTCAAATTGTTTTTTACCACATTTATTTGTTTACGTTTCATTCACAACCATGTAAAGTTTTAAAAAAAAGCAGAAGTAAAGTGAGAACCCCATAACAAAAGTGGAAATTGACGTGTCATAACAAAAGTGTAACGAGGTAGCAAGAGAAAAAAAATAAGTCACTTCAGACAAAAGAGAAGAAACACAAGAAAAATCTGATTATTATTATTGCTATTATATATTATATATTGTAACAACCAACTGTATTGATCAATGTGAATTCTTAATAAAAGAAAAATCAACCAAACGAGAATCGCAAAATTGTGGAAAATTTGAATGGGAAAACCCCACAATGTCGTTATTGGAATACGGTGGAATATCACATTTAGATACACGGAAATGAAAAACTACCCAAAATTAAGTACTTTTCCCTCAATTCCCATATAAAGGCTGACTAAAAGTAAATTGATACGCCCCTCGCGCGCCGCTAGCACGCTTCTAGTGTTGGGAATCAAAAATCTTTGACAATGGTTTGTTAACACTTCTATAGAGAACAACTGGTGCAAGTTTGATCAAAGTAGTCGATCGCATTCAGAAATAACCTCGGAAATAACGTCAAATGGAACTCGAAAGAGGAAAAAATATTGTGCACAAACACCTGGAACATCCGGAGTGGTCCGGTTCCAAGCTGGCTAAAGTGCTGAAAGTGGACCCTACACGATGGCTCTTATTGACAATAATCGTCATCTGCCGTAACCAGCGGTTACCAGTTCAAGTTCAACTAGAATGTGGCTTTTACTCCCAGAGAGGGTGATAGGCCCGTAGAACGGCGCTGATGGTAGAAGATTTCTCCATGGAGTCGTGTTGCTTGATAGTGCAGCACAAAGTGGGAGGTAAACTCCTTCTAAAGCTAAATATCACCACGAGACCGATAGCGAACAAGTACCGTGAGGGAAAGTTGAAAAGCACTCTGAATAGAGAGTCAAAAAGTACGTGAAACTGCCTAGGGCTCAAGCCCGTTGAACTCGATTATCCGAGCGGAGACATTCACCTGCGGTTCGGCCGGTTCCGGCCGGCTCGCCGCAGGGCACTTGTCTCCCGCGTCACACGAGGACATTGCGATCCATTACGAAACAGCCCCAGCAAACAATTTTGTTAACATTACTCAGTTGCAATTCAGTTAGCTGTAGCCTTATACAATATAAAAGCATCGTACAAGATGCATGAATTCCTTATATGCGTACAAAAGTGGAGGCCATATACGTACAAATAGTATTTAGCGCAAACATCATATAAGAGATGTCTTATGATTTCATTAGAATGATTACGCAATCTGTTATTTTTCGTCTTGTATTACATAACGTGCATAATGCAATTATATATCAAAGCTTATATAACTTTTCAAGTTACTGTATTGTACACATTATAGGATATGTTAAAAAACATATCCGCAGATGTATATATATATATATATATAATCATGGTTAAACCGCAATGCATTGATAGTTCATTTGCATCCATACTTTTACGAAAAAAAAAATCCTGCGGGTATAAATCAAATGATATGGATATTGGATAATTGGTTTGAACACATACTTTTTAAATAACTCAACGCATACCTGGTTACATTAGCCTCGATCCTGGTGTCTTCATATCTGCATGGCAGCTACTTATCCATTAGTCCATATACATATTGGTCAATCAACGAATTTTTGTCTATCTTACAAAATCATTAGATTCTAGATTAAGTTCAACATCTTATAAGACTGTTGTTGAGTTTATTATAATTTTATATGCCAGTAACGCTATACGACATTGTTTTGATCGAAATACGATGCATTCCCAATTACATCATAACATATCGACAGTAAGCATGCATAAGGGCCTATACGCGATGATCGATTCTCTTCGTCGATTTTCTCTTTTGTTAATAACTCGCTAGATTTAACGTTTCTCGGTGCGTTTCTGTTGCTTTTGATAGCCAATACAACCTGTTACTACTCTGCATTGAACAAATTCTAGAAAATTGTTTCGCTTAGCTGTAGCAATGCAAAGAGAATATCGATGAAGAGAATCGATCATCGCGTATTCGCCCTTATGCATGCTCACTGTCGATATGTGATTATTAGGGCACTGCTACGATCATTAAATGGACCGCTAAATGATTAAGGAACAGCAGCAAAATGCTTTTTAATCAATGTTCCCAAACCAGTGGATACTAGCAATAGTACAAATTCGTCACACCAATTATTACTCCATTTTCATAGATTATTATGTGATAAGAAATTTCAGTTTCAATAAAAAACAGTTTTGGTTGATTATTGCAATTCACTTCACTCTTATGTAAAGGGAAATGTGTTACATTATAAACTTTAAGAATGATATCAAAATAACAAAACTGGCTACTCTGGCACTTCATCAGTAGTGATCGGTAAATGTAAATAAACATTCGTTTTCCACTATACTGTCCTCATCGCATCGAACAGCTGCTTCTTCTCGTCGATTAATCACAGTAAGTTGAATTAAAACTTTATCCTCTTAAATAAACTAAAAACAAAAACAAATCTTTCAGATGTACGGAGTTGCGCAGTTTATAGAAAACGGCCGATTTCAGGTTCTGGCAGTACCCATGAGCTGGATACAAAAGGAGTTCCTAATGTGGCCAAAGTCATTGAACAACGAGAAGATCGATAAGATGCGGAAGGAAGGGACGATTTTTAAAGGCGCAACCAAATCCGTACCAGTTATCGTAACACGAAAATTCCGCAGCTTCCAAGCGGCGGAAGCTTCTGTGGAAGAACTGTCAAAAAAGACGTGTCGGATTTTGAAGCAAAAAAAAAGCAACTGAAATCTGCAAAAAAAAAGAGGCCAGCGGAAAAGCGGAACGATTACAACTCACTTTGTAAAGGTATGTTTTCATTTAAATGGTTCAATTATAAATTAACGTGACTGTTTTCAGCAATCGTTGGCAAAGAGAAACAAGCTTGCAGTTCCCGAAGCTCGTTTCAGAAAGTTAAAGCACTATCGGTTGAGCCACCGGAAAAACTGGTCCGTCCACCACAGCCATTGGAACCAGTCATCAATATTCGCCCTGATACGCCACCGGAAAATCTAATCCGTCCTCCACAGCCAATGGAACCGGTGATCAATATTCGGCCGGATGTGACAGCTCCAAGGGATGATTTCCAATCATTTCTTCAACCATCTGCCACAACCACAACGATTGCCCAGACATCTGCGGAAATAGCGAGAGCAGTTCAAATTGTGCAGCAGTCATCAACATCAAACGTTGTCCAGGAACCAATACTACGTATGCCGGAGGATTTCATGCTTCAACAGATCCAGTTGAAGCCGCTGGAAACTACTAGTTCCCTTCCAGGTAAAAACTTCAATGATAATTTTGACACTGAAAAAAAAATTGTGGTTGCTTTGTTGAAGTTAACAAATTTAAATGACATTATTGGTGTTTTGGATTCATGTGCTCCATTTGGTGAGTTTGCATATTTTTGACAGACAAAAAATTAATTTTGACAGACACCTTCTCGAAAATCGACCGATCAATAACTGATTAATTTATTTTTAATGTGTCAAATTTAAGTGAAATTTTTTTAAATGGAACACAGCCTTAAATAGTACCGAATTAAATTTATTGATTGCATGCATTTTGCAGATTATCGATCATTTGCGCCAAATGTTCCTGAAGAGAACATTCACTTTGAGGCTTATACCAAGAATATGGATGTGGAAGGTATTTGAGTTTTTATATTAATTTAATATTGATTATCAGCTTTATTATAATCATTGTCAATAAAAATACAATACAAATAATGAAATGTCCTTTTAGGTGAGGATACCGATCAAGTTGAAACTGCAACGGACCTAGATGCACTTATTAAACAAAATATTTTCGATGCAGTCAATGATGCAATGCGGAGCTATCTTGACATACACATCGAAAACATAGTAGAACGTGCGGTAACTGCAGCTGTCGATAGAAGTTTTGCGACTAATTTTGCTCGTCTAGCAGCCATGACGGAGGTATTAAATAAAACGACATCCAAAGACGACACAGTTATCGAGTTACGATCACCTGTTGATACTGAGAAGCATGTTACCGATTGGAATGCTGAGTTGACAAATGATGCTCTTCAAATGAAATATGTGAGTACTCCAATAAACCGGTTCATTAATTATTCAAGAATTCAAATGTATCATAATTTAAAATATTACATCTTTTTTTTCCAGATGGAATTTTTCTCCCGAATTATTGTTCCTAATTCGTACGTGGAAAAAGGAGATAACGCGTTTTACGTCATTGCAGATTGTCTATTCACTAGACAATTTTGGAATCGATTTACTTGGACAGGTGTGAACAGAGGACATAAATCCAAACGAGGCTTCCGTGAATTTGGAAACGTCACGGAACTGCTTTTAAAACTTATTCAGATTGGTGACCCCACATATACAAAACAGCAGTTGGAGAAGTGTTAAAAGGTCAAAGCCTCATCATGAAGATGCTATGAGTGTTACAGACGACATCGAACTTGATGACAATGGCTCTGATGGTGAGGATATGGAAGACTTTGAGAACACAGAGTCAATTCATCAACCGAACGACACTGATACATCTGAAGGCAATGATGGAGACTTCCAAGCTACGGAATGAAGGATTAAAGTTACGGTCGTGACTATCAATGATTTTTTTACATTTCTTGTTATTTTTTAAATGAAAAATTGTTGAATTGGATTCTTAAACAAATAAACTGCTTTCTTAGTTTTATTACTTGATATAATGCTCACATTAGGTATTATCAGTTATTTTATAACCATTTTCAGATGAAATTTGCCATTGTATGCATAAGTGGTATGAATACAGTTTTATCTTTACGGTTGATAGGAACCATTTTACATAAAATCAAATCAGGTCTGTAGAAATAAGCATTTGAAAAATTTTCTTTCACAAGTTTTGAGCTGAATACATGAAGAAAAGAAGAATCCATTGGTTTTGGGAAGAAATTTTCGATTTCCAACAAATGTTGTCCTTTGATTAATACTTCATCTTCATCTTCATGAACATCTGTCATTCCAACTAATTCTAATGTATTTGTGAGAAACCATTTGTTGGTAAACTTGTTTGTCAAAATAAATTCTGGAAAGGTAATTTTAAATACTTTTTCGTTTTTTATGACATTGATTAAAGTAAGTTTGGAGAAATGCTGTAATTTTGATGATTTTTCACTACATTCAGCTTCTGTTATTCGGTTGGCTATTTGAGCTAACGGATTAGGACCGGGTTTCACCAGCTTTTTCAATGAATGTAGGCAATTTTCGAAAGGATATGCGGAAAGAGATATTAATGTTCCAAATGTTTCCACTTCGTCTACAATATGGCAAAGATTGTGTACATTACTTGTGATAAACTCCGTACCATACAGTATCTTGTAATCATTTATAAATTCAATTAAGAGCATTCTCGCGATTGGTAAAAATGATTTGTATCTTTCCACAGAACAAATACGGACTGCGCAAAACAATAATAAAAAATGTTCATAATACTTAGGTGGTAGATGACCTTTTAGAAGCACAACTCCTACATAGTTCAAAAAAATTCGATATTCCAACCCTTTCCAAAGTGAAATATGTTCCAACGAACGCATACGTCGGTGAATCTCTACAGGGAACCTTAAATCAACCAAATATTCAGAGATAACCTGTTTTCCGTAAGCGCTCCATTTCGCTCGTTTCATCATGCATCCAGTACGCCAAGAATTAATCAGCTTCCGCATAATGCCTAACTCTAATAAATGTAACGCATCTCCAGCAATGACATCATCTATCATGTCTATCGGTAGTTCCGTAAGTAGAGACACGGAACGTTGGTGCTCTGGGTATTTATTCTCTCGAAACATTTGATTAGTCCGTAGCTCTGCATTCACTTCTGGGAAGATCATGGTTCTTGTCTCATGGGAATATTTTCCTTTCGTTGTACACTTCAGGCATCCAAACTTGCCGTTATAGTTTGTTACACACTTAATAAAGGCCCGAGCGGGAGAATCACATATAAACGCTCGAATTTTTACGGAAACTTTGTGAGTATTAACTATCACACCTGAATTAAGAACTGATGTAAGCTCATTGATGAAAGGAGATAAAAATTCATTGGCATCTTTTGGTTTGCTTGCTCCATAGTAAATACCAACGATGATTGGAGAAATGTGTGATAACTCATGGATATTCACAAGAATTGGCCAAAAATGATTGGCACTGCTCTTATATATGGGAAGACCATCAATGTTGATGTTAAGGGATACATTCATATCCACAGCAACATGCTCCAAGCGCTTTTGTAGGCCACGTTCCAAGCCATGGTGCCAGTATTTACCATAGTTTTTCATGGTTATGATTTCCAAAGTTCTAGGGGTTCTCATAAAAGTGCGGGGATCTTTTGGTAGATCCACCTGCGAGTGAGTATTGAGCACACTAATCAACGATTTCAAAGCTGCTTGCGATATTTGATATTGCGAAGCCCATTTCCGGATTTCAGATTGAAGTGATCCTAAGAATGAAAGTACAGTTTTTTTTAAATCGTTAAATTACTTTTAGTAAAATTTGGTTTTACCTTGGTATCGTTCATTTTCAACTATATCTTCTAAAATTTCTTTCGAATCATCCATACTGTGAGTATTCATTTCATTATCCAAAGCTTCCGTGGCCTCATTAAATTCTTCAGAGGTGACAGAAGCAGAAGAAGAAATCGATGAACTAGAATAATGCTGTTGGTCCACATCGTTATTTTTATCCGAATTATTTTGAGAAATCTGAGGGATGATCCTTTTTTTATGCTTTTGAAGCAAGCGACTGTACGTTCCACTTTTGCGGATTCGCGTCAATTTATTTTTTAAAACAAATGTATTCATACTCCGCCTGATTTTCCTGATTTTCCGAATATTTGTTTTTAATCGTAGATTGAACAATGATTCCACAATCAAATAAATAAAAACAGACAGATATGCAATATAAAATAACTTCATGTGTATCTATATGTAATGTTCATCAACTTTCTCGCAATATGATTTCGTGTGGACAAATACGGTGATTTATGCAACTAGGGAAAAAAGTTTTATTTCAATCATAAAAAATCGTTATATGTAATCTTTTTACAACTTGATGCAATATTGGCTGCCGTTATATACAATTCTAATTTAATATGCGTGTATATACGACTTGATTTGAACATTCTTTTACGACTTATGGTTTGCTGGGAGCTTTGGCGTCCGCAAGGTCGCCCGACAGTTGCCCCCTGGTGCTGGTTGCTTGCCCCACAGTAGCGACGCTCAGTTCTGAAGGCCTGTGCCGCGAGGTAGGGCTTACTGCACGTGGTGTTTTGCAGTCGGGCGCGTGATGGATTTCCGCGTACACCGCCTCGGTCTTCCCGCAATGGTCGATCGGCAATGATAAAATCGAGGTACCTTCGGGACCCGTCTTGAAACACGGACCAAGAAGTCTATCTTGCGCGCGAGCCAATGGTCGTCCTCCGGAACACCAAAGGCGCAAAAAACATAACTTGAGTTGTGCGGGATTACGGGCGCGGCTCTCTGCAGCGTCCCTCCATCCCCGGGTGTTGTACCAGGCATGCGGTGAGGCCCTCCGGGGCCCTACCGTGCCACAACATACCGTGAGTGTGCAGGATGTGACCCGAAAGATGGTGAACTATGCCTGATCAGGTTGAAGTCAGGGGAAACCCTGATGGAGGACCGAAGCAGTTCTGACGTGCAAATCGATTGTCAGAATTGGGCATAGGGGCGAATGATCAATCGAACCATCTAGTAGCTGGTTCCCTCCGAAGTTTCCCTCAGGATAGCTGGAGCACGCAACGTTGCGAACTCTATTCTTATCTGGTAAAGCGAATGATTAGAGGCCTTAGGTTCGAAATGATCTTAACCTATTCTCAAACTATAAATGGGTACGTACCATAACATTCTTGCATGATGTTATTGCAGCGTTGACGCCGGGCCAGCCCCCTGCGGTCGTTGCCTCCATAAGCGGCGTAGAAGATATCTGTGTGCTTAGTGGGCCAAGTTTTGGTAAGCAGAACTGATGCTGTGGGATGAACCAAACGTAATGTTACGGCGCCTAAATAAACGACGCATCATAGATACCATGAAAGGTGTTGATTGCTACAGACAGCAGAACGGTGGACATGGAAGTCGTCATCCGCTAAGGAGTGTGTAACAACTCACCTGCCGAAGCAATTAGCCCTTAAAATGGATGGCGCTTAAGTCGTTTGCCTATACATTACCGCTGGCGTACAAGTGGGGCAGCGCGTTCGCACGACTGCCCTTTGAGACGCCAGCGAGTAGGAGGGTCTGGTGGTGTGCGTTGAAGTGCCTGGCGTAAGCCGACATGGAGCCGCCACTAGCACAGATCTTGGTGGTAGTAGCAAATATTCGAATGAGATCTTGGATGACTGAAGTGGAGGAGGGTTTCGTGTCAACAGCAGTTGAACCCGAGTTAGCCAATCCTAAGCTCTATGGGAAACCTGATATATATTAAGCATTTAACCAGATACAAAGACACAACCGGCGTTGATGCAACATCCTCGTATATATTGAATGAGCGAAAGGGAATCCGGTTACAATTCCGGAGCCTGTTGAGTATACGTTTGCATTGGCGTTTGCATACCGGCAACGGTAGCGCCTTTGTAATCATGGCAACATGAATCCTTTTCTTCGAGAAGCCAACAAGAGATATCGGAAGAATTTTCTTTTCTGTTTTACAGTCACACTAGCCATGGAAGTCTTTCATAGAGAGATATGGTTGGACAGGCTGGTAGAGCTTTGCTGTATTAAATTGCTGTGTCGATATTCTCTTCTTGGACCTTGGAAATCGAAGACTGGGGCACGCAAACTCTCAACAGCTTGTACCGAATCCGCAGCAGGTCTCCAAGGTTTAGAGTCTAGTCGATAGATTAATGTAGGTAAGGGAAGTCGGCAAATTAGATCCGTAACTTCGGGATAAGGATTGGCTCTGAAGACTGGGATGACTCGGGCTATGCTCCCGCGTTCCTCCGTGGGTGCACGCTTGCGCGCGGGGCCTTCGCGGGCTTCCGTGTGTGGGTGTGTGTCCCGCGGGCGCTGCAGTCATCACCAAGCAGTCAATTCAGAACTGGCACGGCTGAGGGAATCCGACTGGCTAATTAAAACAAAGCATTGTGATGGCCTCAACAGGTGTTGACACAGTGTGATTTCTGCCCAGTGCTCTGAATGTCAACGTGAAGAAATTCAAGCAAGCGCGGGTAAACGGCGGGAGTAACCATGACTCTCTTAAGGTAGCCAAATGCCTCGTCATCTAATTACACGACGAACAACATCATCGGGTAGGGAAAATTCTCCCTTCCCGATAGTGCTCTTAGTTTGCGTGGGCGTACTTCGGTTCTCGTGAAAAGGACCTAGCAAATCGTTTACAAAAGTTGATGGGCCCTTTTCAAATGT